TCAAACCCACCAGCCACTCCTCGGAAGGAAGGTTGGGCAATCCTACTTCCGTAGTGATACTGCCTCGGAAACCCAAGGAGGGGTCGCTGTGAGTCAGGTTTGACTCGACGGCAAACAACAACAACAACATAAGCTTTACTGGTTTTTGTTTCTCCAGAGAACCCAGTCTAACACATGCTAGCTTAAATAAATGATGATACATCCATATAATGGGCAACTGTAACTTTCTTGAAAGAGAATGCATCAGAATTGTGTGTCAAAAGATAAAAAGTATGTGTATAGATAGAGAATATATCCGTAATATTTTCTTTAAACAATTCATAGAAGAGTAGCTAATAATTCCATTTGTATTTTAAAAGTATTTTTAGAAGGACCAAGTTTGCTGATCTAATAGAGTCTGATGGAACCCCTGAGACTGTGGCCCTTAGCTGCCCTTCAGGTCTGGAATTGAATCCCCACTCCTGTATCTTCCAACCAAACAAAAGACAGACATATGAGCTGAACATTTAAATTAGGTAGATACACTCCTTGGAAAAGAATAATCGTGGGAGAATAGAAGGACTGTGCATTAACAGGGAGACAGCTCAGGGGGCAAGAGTGCATGGAGGGAAGGACACAGGGAAGAGGTAACTATGGGGAGGAAGTGGGAGGGGAGCTGTAGTATTGTGGTAAATTGTAGTCAATGTCATGAGACAAAGTATGTGTGAACTGCTGTACGGAAAGTAAATTTGCTCTGTAAACTTTCACCCAAATCACAATTAAAAAAAAAAAAAAGTATTTGTAAGCAAGTGTGTGACCCTATTTGGATCCCAATTCAAACCAAAATTTTTTATTTTTCAAAGCAATCAAACAAATTTGAATACTGTCTAGATATTTGATATTCTGGAATCCTGGTTAGTTTATGGTATGATGATGATGTTAGACTATGTTTAAAATAGAGTCCTCACCTTTTAGAAGCACTTACTGAAATAGTTAAATATTAAATAATAGGACATCTGGGATTTTCTTGGAAATAATCCAGTGATGGGGAGAGGGGATAAAGTTGGCCCTGAGTTGATCATTGTTGAAGTAAAAGGGTGGTGGGTATATGAGCAGTTTACTAGATTATTCTACTTTTGTATATAAGTTTGAAATTCTCCATAATTTAAGAAAACCGTAAACTAAATTTTACATTGTTTATATACACTGTTTTGTGTCTATTATTTATATATACTATTTATATATACATAGAAAGTGTCTTAAATGATAAATACCAATGTTTTAATAGTAGTTACCTATTAAGACTGAGATGGGGGTGGAAGATACTTTTAACACCATACTATTTATTTGATTTTTATAATATATGTTATAATTTAAACATTTAAATATAAAGGTTTTTTTTTAAAATACCAAGATATATATAGATATGGATATATAACATGAGATATCTTTGAACCATTCTGCCCAATCCTGGATTGATTTTCAGCTGTAGGCATCAGGGGTGGGAAAGGATCTGCTTTGAAGATTTCTTGGAAATGAAAGTTAATGTTTCAATTTTTGATTTTATCAAAATATCCCCACGGCAAAAAAAAAAAAAAAAAAAACCTGTCAAAAAGGCCTTTACAAAATATTCATGTATCCAGCCTTGCCATAGCATTTTCTCTCTACATTAAATTTTTTCTTAACTCATTTTAGAGAGCCCAGACCTGCTATGAGAAGACCATGACCACAATGACTTTAGATTTTATTAGATGACCTGTAACTCATAATTTACTATTAATATTCCTCTTTTGTAGATGCTCTCCTCTAGCATGCAAAATAAATACACCTTGCTGATTTGGACATAGTAGTATTCTAGGCTAGAACAACCTACATTCCAAGGAATGCAGAAGTAGCATGTTTTAAAAAAGAATACCTTCACAGATCCAGTTACTAAGCCCCAAGCTTCATTGTTAGTATCTCCCTGCCCTCAGGATTTCCTGCTTTAACTCTCTTGACCCAGATGTTGGCAGATAGTAAAATTGCCAGAGAATGACCATCAGGAAAATTAAAGAACGGATAATTCCAACTTCCTTTAGCAGTTTATGTGAAAGGGACAAACATTAGTACATGCCGTGGTAGCTATGCCAGTCATACTAGGAGAAATTTTGTGTCTCATGGCAATCAAACCTGTATTATTGTTTTTCATGTCCTGATGAATAAATGTGATCACTCACTCAGAATGAGGAGTAAGTAGTGTGATAGTTAAGCTTATGTGTCAACTTGCCTGGGCCTGGTTGAGTGGCTGGGCAGCTGGATGTAGTATTCCCCATGATGAGACTGGTAATCAACTGCATGCTGCAATCTACTGTGAGCAGCTGAGTAGCTGTCTTAGGGAATGTGGTCTGCTTCCAGTATATAAGAAACAACTTTGAAGAAGGTCTCTAGCTTTTTGGCACACTTGAACCCTGCATGTACCCAAATCATTGCTCAGCAGCCTGCCGTGCCCTGCCAATCTTGGGATTTTTTTGGACTTGAATTAGTGACCTGCCATGTTGTTTGGTAATATTGGAACTGTGCCTTTGTACTTGTCAACCTTGTGTTTGTCAGCCTCAGCAGCCAGCAGCTGCCTGAGTGAAGAAAAGCCTCCAGCTTCAGTGAACCGGGAGCAAGAGGCAGTGCTGAAGCCCAAAGTTGAGGGGCTTTCACCTAGTCCCTAGAGCCTGACTCTTTGAACTCGGACTTATAGCCTCCAAAACTGTAAGAGAATAAACTCCTGTTTATTATAGTGGCTAAGGCACTTGACTGCTAACCAGAAAGCTGGTGGTTCAAACCCACCAGCCACTCCTCAGAAGGAAGATAGGGCAATCTATTCCCATAGTGATACTGCCTCGGAAACCCAAGGAGGGGCCCCTATGAGTCGGGTCCGACTCAACGGCATATAACAACAACAAGAGCAACATCCCATTTGTGGTGTGTTTTCTTCTAGAGCAGCATAAAGTAACCAAAACAAGTAGCAAATCTGCAAAAAATCACAATAACTTAACACAACAAAGATTTATTTCTCACCTGCATTGCATTCCAGTGCACATCATTAGGTCACCTCCTTCCATGTTATTCTGAAATCTCTAGGAGCTCAGAATCCTACATTGGATCCTCTGCAACTCGCCTGCAATCAAGGGGAACAATAACAAGTATGGAGAAAAGCACAGGGGTTTTGGGAGTCAAGCCTAGACATGATTTATTTTACTTCTGCCCATATATTATTTAGCCAGGATTTAGTCCCATAGCCTGTAAGGGAGGCTGGGAAATGTAGTTTTCCCAAATGCCTAGAAGAAAGTGAATTGGAGATCAGTGACCAAATTGCATTGTCTCTGTTATTTTAATAATTTTATTTCAGGCTAATAGACAAGGTATGCAAAAACAAATTACATCCAAATGTAGCTATGTATATGTAATAGATTTGTTGTTAGAGATTGCCAAGATGAAGCAACTTAAGTCAACTTGTCCTATAGGACAGCTCTTTGTCCCATCAGTGGAAAGGCTTTGTTGGAGAGTCTGCTCTCATTTATTAGTACCCAAAACCTAAAAATCGCCAACTTGCTACTACTGATGGTGCATTTTATGTGAGTTAGGAATTTAATTGTCTCTATACCTCTTTTTCAGGGTTTGAGTAAAAAAATTGGTGTATCATCCTCAATCCTTCAAGGTCTCTGGATCTCCTATAGCACGGAAGGCCTTTCCATGGCGTTAGCATCTTTACGAAATCTCTACACTCCAAATATAAAGGTAAGTGCATATAGATTCCAGGTGGGTTAAAATATGAACTGTATAAAATAAAATTTGAAGGACATTTAAGTGGCTGTTTAATTGATCTTTGTTTGCCTTAGACTATCTTCCATTAATTTTTATTGATAATTTAATATATTTTAAATTATTACATTTTATTCAGTGAATTGAAGACCAAACATATTATCCTTCTACCTTCTACAAACTGCTTCTGACTTAACAGTAACAGGCCCTGCTAGTTTAGGGAGTCAGTTGGTCCCAGCTAGCCCTTGTTTTACTAGGAGCCTTGCTGACCAAGAGTTCACTTTATAAAGACTACATTCAACACTACAGAATGTGTGGCACTTGCTCTAGTTACTGAGCAGTTTCTGTAAATGAGTCATATGACACCCTTTTCCAAGGACAAGATACTGAAAAAGGAACCAATGAAGATTGTAAAATAAAATTGTTACTAGCCTATATAAAGAACTAGATGGTGCCCGGCTACCACTGTCAACCACTTGGAGGGGGATCGGTGCAGGAGATCCTGGATAGAGTGGGAAAACAATGTGGAACAAAACTCAGAATCATAAAAAGACAGAACAGATGTGCTAGTCTGATAGAGCCTGGTGAGACCCTTGAAACTATGGTCCCTAGCTACCCTTCAGGTCTAGAATTGAACTCACTCCTGTGGCTTCCAGCCAAATAATAGGCATGTGGGCTGAAAATTTACATCACGTAGATACACTTCTTGGAACAATCAGTCATGGGAGAACAGAGGGCAGTGTTTTGCACAGGGAGACAGCTCGGGGAGCAGGAGTTCATGGGAGGGAAGAACACAGGGAAGAGGTAACTATGGGGAGGAACTGGGAAGAAACCTGTTACATTGTAGGAAATTTCAGTCAAGGTCATGAGACAAAATGTGTATGAACTGCTGTATGGAAAATGAATATGCTCAGTAAACTTTCACCCAAATCATATTTAAAAAATAATTAAATAAATACAATAATAAAATCATTACGATATGCTGCTAAGGGCTGATGCAGAGTTTCATTTCATATAATACAAGATAACTAAAAGGATGTGACTCATGTTTGAATTGATTCTTATTTCTATTTATTGACTTACTTCTAGGTCAGCCGATTGCTGATTTTGGGAGGTGCCAACATTAATTACCGGACTGAGGTTTTAAATAATGCTCCAATTCTATGTGTGCAGTCTCATCTTGGCTACACAGAAATGGTGGCCCTCCTGTTGGAGTTTGGAGCCAATGTGGATGCCTCTTCCGAAAGTGGCCTGACTCCTTTGGGGTATGCGGCAGCAGCAGGATACCTGAGTGTCGTCGTGCTGCTGTGCAAGAGGCGGGCCAAGGTAACGGATGCCCAGCTCTGCTGCTTCCCCTTCTGCTCTTTCTCTCAGGCAGGCTTTCTCATCTCCACTGTTACCGCATGAGCATAGGTAGAGTATATCAGATCCTCTTAGGGAATAGATCCAGGGGAGTACTGGCTCTGCATACATCCCAGTGTCTACACACTTCAAGTGCTGCTATTGCCAGTCCGCACTGCGTCTGGGCACTGAAAGTTCTGAAACCTTTGATAGACACTTAGGAAGCTGCATTAATCAGCAGCCAAAAAAAGACACTACTCAATCAAGAAATTCTCAGAAGAAACCCCTTTCTAACAAAGAGGAAAGAAAAGTCAGGCGGGGGTGAGGGGAGCAGGGCAGTCTGCAGTGGGAGGTCTGAACTGAATGGTTCCTGCAGACTCTAAGCCTTTCATGTATAGAGAAGAAAAGCTAGCCACGGAGATGAGAACAGAGACCAAACCCCTTCATCCTGTCCTCTGAGGACCACTACCATAGAGGCGTGGGAGTAAACAACTCTCCCTGTTTATACTCACACTGACCAAAGGCACCTAAAAGTGTGTCCATTAATATGTTTCAAATCTCTGAAAAAGCTTCCAAAATGGTACAAAAGACTTAATTTTAAAATATTAGTGAAAAGAAAAATGCTCATCTCACAAATGTAGGCCTCTGGGGAAATTACAGACTCATAGTATTTTTTTTCCTAAATTTTATTTATTTTTGTTGTTGAGAATGTACACAGCAAAATATACACCAGTTGGACTGTTTTCACATGTACAATTTAGTGACATTGATTACATTCTTTGAGTTGTTCACTCATTCTCACCCTTCATTTTCTAAGTTGTTCCTCACCCATTAACATAAACTCACTGCCCCTAAGGTTACTATTTAATCTTTCAAGTGACCCGATGGTATTTTGTTTCAGTCCTGAAAACAAACCAAGAATTTTGGTGGTTTTGCAGTGGAGTGTAAGTAATTTGTCAGACCTCATTCTCAAGTGTCCACTTCTTTTACCAGGAAAGAGTGTGGAACTCCTGAGACTCCTTTGGGACCTGGGACCTGGGACTCCCAGTGAAATCTCTGAACTTTAGATGTTTACTGTGACACACTGATGGTCCACCTGTAACATCCCATTCACTTGAATGACACCTAGAAACAGACTGATAACTGAACCTTATTACTATTGCTGTAAATTCATATTCTAATCTCAGCTAGTCTTTCCTGCTGCCTAGGCCTTACCCTCCCACCATCATTTTATTCAAAGCAAACAGAGGTAGCATGTTTTTAAAAAGACTACCTTTTCAAATCATTTCTACTCTTCTCCAGACCTTATCATACCACTGCTGCCCTCCTATCTTATGAAGATTGAGTGTGTCTCAATATGCCTCTATTTCAGTTTTATTAATCCTCACCTACACTCTCATTTATTTCTGTCTCAGAGAAGGAAGTGTTTACCTTCCTATCTAAAACTATTGCCTCCCCCAGTACTCTTAATCCCAATATGTTGCTCATTTTCTCACATTTTATGCCATTCTTTCCCTAAATTCACGCTACTTTGTTTTCTCTGTTTCTGCAAGGCTGTGAATGTCTTCCCTAACATTAAAAAGAAGGTTTACTTCCCTCTCACCTGCTAACTAGAAGTCACCACTCCATCTTTTCTCTTCCATGTCCACCAAACCTATCCTAAGAGTCACCCCTACTTGTTTCTTCTGCTTCCTTACTTCCCCTCAACCACTTGTAGTCTGGCTTCCATGAGAAGAGAGAGAACACCCAAGTCATTAAAATCATAGGTTTTGGAATCTAACACAGCTGGGTCAAATTCTGCATCCACACTTACTTTCATTCACTTACAAGTCATTTACCCTCAGTCTCAGTTTTTTCACTTATAAAAATGATTCATGGGGTTAATGTGAGGATTAAAAGAGATAAAGTCCTTTTTTTAAACTCATACAGTATCTAATAAATAGCCTACTTTAAAAAAAGAAAATCTCTTGGCATTCAACTGAAGCCACTCTCTCAAAAGTTTTACAACTGCCAGTCACCAAATTAAACCTGCTTTTGCTCATTCCTCACCCTTCTAAGCCTCTCCGTAGTGTTAGCAATATTGACCATGACACTTCTCAAAACTTCTAATATTGTCCTTGTTCTCCTACCTCCCTAGTTGCTCTTCTCTCTTCATTCTCTTAATAGGACCATTTGCTAAGATTTTCCCTCTGATCTTCTTCATCCCCATTCCCACTCCTGATACTTCAGCATTAAGATCATAGGCTTTAGAACAAACACAGCTGGGTCCTAGTTCTCCTTCTACCTGCAGTTTGTGTAACTCTTCACTCCAAATTGCCAACCCCTGAAAAGTTTTCTAAGCTCCAGTTCACATTCCTAACTGCCTCCTGGACAGTTCTGCCCAGATGCCTTGCGAGGACATTTACCTATTTAAAATCATTCATCATTTTTTCTCTGTAACTACCTTTCTTAAATCTACTAGTGTAGCCTCCATTTTTCACAAAATTACAGAACCCTTCCAAATCTATTTAGTAACCAACTCTTCTAAATTTTATCCTAAAAATAGCTTAAGCACCTATTCCTTTATCTCTGCCCCAACTACCACCACCCCCTTGAATTATTCTACACATCTTCCTGTGTAACAAACTCCTTTTTAGATTCTAATTTTATCTAACTCATTCCACACCATCACCTCACCTTTATTTAACTTTTTAATTTGAAATAATTTTAAACTTTTAAAAATGTTGTAAAAATACTGAAGAGGTCTAGAATTGAACCCACACCTGTGGCTTCCAGCCAAACAAAAGACAGGCATATGAGGTAACATTTACACTAGGTAGATACACTCCTCGGAGAGAACAATCATGGGAGAATAGAAGGGCTGTATATGCACAGGGACATAACTAGGGGGACAGGAGTACATGGAGGGAAGGACACAGGAAAGAGGTAACTATGGGGAGGAATTGGGGGGGAGCTGTTACATTGTGGTAAATTTTAGTCAATGTCATGAAACACAAAGTGTATGTGAACTGCTGTATGGAGAGTGAATTTGCTCTGTAAACTTTCACCCAAATCACAATAAAAGGAAAAAAAATTTTTTTTAAATACTGAAGAAAGTTTCTGTGTATCCTTCATTCAGCTTCCTCTAATGTTAATAACTTATATAATCATAATCCAGTTATCAAAACCAGGACATTAATATTGATATGATACTATACTATTCACTAATCTTAATTCAAATTTTTCCATTTGTGCTACTAGTGTCCTTTTTCCAGTCCAGGAGCCAATCCATTTAGTTGTTATCACTCCTTTGTTTCCTCTAAGCTTCGGCAATCCTCAGTCTTTTTTATAATCTTGACACTTTTGAAGAATACCAGCCAGTAATTTTGTAGAATTTGCCTCAGTTTTAGTTTGTCTGATATTTTCTCATGATTAGGTTGAGTTTATATATTTTTGGCAAGGATGTGACAGAAGTGACACCATGCCCTTCCTGGTGCTGTACGTCGGGAGGCACATGATGTTGCTAGGGCTCGTTAAAGGGGATGGTAACTTTAATCATCTGGTTAAGGTAGTGTCTTAAAAGTTTCTCAACTCAAAAGTTACTCTTTTTCCCCCTTGTAATTAAGTAGTATTATCTGGGGAGCTGCTTTGAGAATAGGCAGATATCTTCTTCTCATCATACTTTTGTCTGCTAATTTTAGGATCCCATCAGTGGTTCTCACCTGCAAAAAGCATTGCTATGATGTTTGCCTAATGAAGATTTTCTGTTTCATTCCTTCCTTATTAATTGGAATTGTATGTAAGGAAGCCTTTCCTCCTCTACCCCCCAATTTATTATTTGTTTATTTGTTTATTTGTATTGCTATGATTCATGGGTGTTTTATTTTATCCCATGGGCTACAATCTATTACTACTATTGTTTATTTAACCGCTCAACTTGCCCCAGATTTGGCCATTGGGAGCTTCTTCAAGTTGGTTCCAGTGTCCTTTCAACTTCTACTCATTGTTTTTTGAGCACTTCCTTACTTTCTGGCACCACAAGATGTTCCATATTCATCTTATACTGTTAACTGCTCCAGCCCTGTCATCAGCTATTTCTCCAAGAAGCGTGGTTTCTTTTCTTCATTGCCTGTTTTTAAAAGCACAATTCGGAACATGAAAACCCTCAGTGACTCTCTATTAGCTGATTAATATTTAGACCACTTAGCCTGGCATTCAAAAATAGCCATGATGTGGTTTCAGAAACCTACTCACCTCTGCAGTCTCTGCAGTACAGACCTACCCTTCATGTACCCACCCTTAGACCTCTGCAGTCCAGACTTACCCTCCATGTACCTACTCACCTCTGCAGTCCAGACTTACCCTCCATGTACCTACTCACCTCTGCAGTCCAGACTTACCCTCCATGTACCTACTCACCTCTGCAGTCCAGACCTACCCTTCATGTACCTACTCACCTCTGCAGTCCAGACTTACCCTTTATGTACCTACCCTTAAAAAGACCAGAATAAATTGATCACTTCCTGTCTCAACCAGTCGAGATGGACCCTTCCCTCTGACTCTGTTTCTCATTCTAGCTGGGAATTTTTTTTCCTCTGAAATTTTATTGCACATTTTACTTTGTTTATGACATTAATTATGATGACCTTTTTTGGATAGGTTTTTGTCATATTTGTACCATCTCCCCTACGGCGTTTGAAAGTTCTTGAGAGCAGAATCTGTATATTATGATCTCACTCACCTTTTTATTCTGTATGGTACTTTGCACACACTAAGCATTCAGTAAATATTTGTTACATGGATGGCTGAGTGGAACTGAAGTCAGTGGGAGACCCAGAAACAGAACTTAATTTTCAAGTGCTTTAACTGTATCAGACAGATAACCTACTCATCTGTTGAGACTGGAGGCGAGAGACTTTTCTGGTAGATTGATCTTAGTCAAACTCTTCTTTCAGCCTTAACTTGTAACCAGCACTAAAATTATAAAAACTGCTTATATTGGAGCTTAGCTTAGCATTAAGCTCCAAGTGCCTCTAGCCAGTTTGGCCAGATCTTTGACATTTCTGCCCTCCCATTGGAAGAGAAATGGCCTTTGCCACAGCGCCGTGGTCAAATGCATGATATATGATATGAGATATTTTACTTCAGAAAACCAAAAAATTGGACCTTCAAAATGTTTTTCTTCCCTCTCATGATTTCAAAGACACTTTTTGGTACCAGCACAGCTACAAAGTCTCTCAAATCTTGTTCTAAAAAGAGCTATTTGAGAACAGAGCTTGAGCTGGGGTTTTGTCTTTTCTTTTTCTTTTAATGTAAAAAAGCCTGGCCTTACGGTCAGGCTCCAGTTCTCTCCAGTGGGGAATCTAGGGGAGTTGTAGTTCATTGATTATGTAGCCAGATCTTCTGTGTAGAAAATGATCCTCTATATGTGTTCAGAGACTGGTTCAGGAAGTAGGAAAGGAGGAATCTGAGCAGTCCCAACATGTGTAGTGGGCTGTATAACTAGACTGGAGTACAGCCCTTTCTGCCACATGTCTTTGTTCATACATGTTTTTCTGTGTCCTCCCCTTAGGTGGATCACTTGGATAAGAACGGGCAATGTGCTTTGGTCCATGCTGCACTCCGAGGTCATCTGGAGGTTGTCAAGTTTTTGATTCAGTGTGACTGGACTATGGCCGGCCAGCAGCAAGGAGTGTTTAAGAAGAGTCAAGCCATCCAACAGGCCCTCATTGCTGCAGCTAGCATGGGTTACACTGAGGTAAGAAAGTAGGTGAGAGGGTGTAAGGTTTTTGGGTTTTTTTTTTTTTGGATTTTTTTCACAGTAGGCATTGAAGGGCCTAGGAAATCAGCATAGAAGGGTTATATTGCTACAGAATTGCCAGACAAATTAATACAAATTGGCTTTTTGATCACTGCTCTGAGGGATGGGGAAATTAGACTTCATAAAGCATTTGACTACTCAAATGCCTGGGCCTTAGAATTATGAGCATACAATGTGAGAATTGGAAAAGACTTTGGAAATTATCTCATTCAGTTCTTCCCCATGTTTCTATCCCATTTAAGAGATAATGGAGCCCTGGTGGTGCAGTGGTTAAAATACACAGATGCTAACCAAACCCCCCAGATACTCCATGGGAGGAAGATGTGTCATTGGGATTCCATAAAGATTTACAGCCTCGGAAACCCTATGGGGCAGTTCTATCCTGTCCTGTAAGGTCACTATGAGTCAGAATTAACACAGCAGATTTTATTTTTAAGAGATAAAGGCCATGGAGTTCAGAGGGATTAATAGTTGATTGTGGTCATATGGCTGGGTAGTGTAGAGTAGGAAGAATGCAGCACCTGGAATCTCAGAAGGACCAGGTTTGAGTACCAGCTTTCCTTCTCGTGAACTCTGGACCTTGGGCAATTTACCTAATTTCTTAGAGCCTTCATTTCCCATCAGTAAAGTGAAACTAATAAATTCTTTTGTATCGGATTTTATGAAAAGTCTTCGAAGACTGTAAAATACTATATAAATAGTATGTTTATTAATTTATTTATTAATGATAATAATAATGGCAGAATACATGGACTTGGTGGTATGGCTGTTGTTAGGTGCCATCACCCTTATACAAATTATATTCATCTTGTGTATGTTTCACCACAGTAAAGTACATATGCATGTGTGTCTGTGTGTGCATACATACACATGTATGTATATGTGTGTGTGTATATGTACGTATGTACATATGTATGTATATATGTATTCACTAAGCTGAAAGCTCCTTCAGCTTCAGCACTAATCTACCCCTGATTTGTAATGTACTCCAGTTTCCAGGGTGGGAAGAGATACACAATAGTGTACCATTGTATAATATTTCCACCATACAGACCCAGTAAATATTATTGATAGCCTCAAGCGCATAGATCATAGTAAAATGTAGTTAAATGAGTAGAAAGTCAGTGATGTTTGTGTGGTTTTTAGTCTTAGTTTTAATATAATTTATTGTTATTTAATGTTTAAATAATGGTTGTGTTTAACAGCTGGCCTGAAAAATTCCTGAAAGTTGAGCCAGCTCCCGTGGGCCTGTGCGAGCTGGCTGCGGTGCACCGCCGCATGGGATGCCGCGTGAAACGGCTGCCCTGTTGACTGGGGGAGTGTTAAGTAAACGGAACACTCTCTCACCAGTGGGAGGTTTTTAACTTTCTGTACACACAAATTTCCAGAAACAGAACCATCACTTTCCTTTGTTGCTAGCAGCTATTCTCCCCTCACTTTCCCTAGAACAGTTCTTGTACTTCTGAAAGAGAGAAAGAAGATAATCACTCTGTTTGGAAGAATTGCCAGCCGTCTGTTTTCTCCACATTTGGGGGAGGGGGGAGGAGGGTCTTTTTATGGAGAGGATGTGGGATTGGATTGCTTCTTTAACTTAAAACATGAGGAATGCAGAATTCTGTAGAATCACGTGCTGTGTAAGTGTACTTTGGTCAAGAGAAACATGTAAACTCCCTGAAAGGACAAGTGCTCAATATTAGCAGCTTTGGGTTTCTTTGCTAGGACAGTTAGTTCTGCTTCCTTTTGTGTATAAGAGATTTAGTGACACTTGGATGTCCAAGTATCTTCCAAATCTCACAAGCTAGTGTCAGCAGCATAATTTTCCATCTGATGTTTGAGCTGACACAACTTCTTGTTTCAGATTGTCTCCTACCTACTTGATCTTCCAGAAAAAGATGAGGAGGAAGTGGAGCGAGCACAGATCAACAGCTTTGACAGTCTCTGGGGAGAGACAGGTACTTCACGTGGACACAGTTGCTCTTCTCTCATGAGTGTGTTGTGTGTGTGTAGACTCTCTGTATCTTATACCCTTCTTTTTTCACTGGCATACTTTTGATAGTCACATGTATTATGGCTTTTATTTGGAGACCAGTGCATCCAAAGTAAAAAGGCAGTTGCCCTCTTACTTTTCGTCCCCCTTGGATTCTGCATACCATTAGTACCCAACTTTTCTTTCAAACAATATTTCACTTCACTCTTATTTCAAAAAGTTTTGGAAAGACTGAAAGTTTCCTTACAGTGTGCCACACCAGAATAGAAAATAATTATGGTCTTTCTCTTTTTTTTTTTAATTTGATACATGTAGCATTTGGGAATCATGAAAATAACTCTTCTCCTAAGAAAATGACTCTTTGCACTCACAGTTATAAACCAGGAGGTTAAATTTTTGTGCTGCCGTGTTAAAATGGTATCTGAAAGTATTAAACAAAGTAAAGTTGTTGTCTGGGTACAACATGAGGGTACCACTCTGTAACCCCAGCTCCACACAATTCTTCTTAGCCTGTAGAAAAGCAGTTTGCATATTACTTGGTACTTACGCACAAACAGAAGCATCTTCCCTGTGGCCTTTGGAAGAAAAGATTGTTGTCTTTCCTTCAAGTCTAAACTAGAGCATCTGGAGAAATGTTAGTAACCTTTAATGTGTTTTTATGAAACCAAGGCAATGAAAATTGTAGAGTCACCACAGATATGTGTCATACTTGCTTGGAGAAGTAGACCAGTATTGGCTGGCCAATTTAGAGAGAATATTTTATTAAACAAGAAGACTATGTGTTTTGGTTAGGGTCAGAATGTTATTAAAAATAAGAAAATACACTTGAACTTATTTAAAAGTTATAATGACCTGTTGAATTATGATGTGTTGCCCCATGGTTTTATGGCTTCTTTAACATCACATACAATGGTCCAAAGTTCAGGAATTTCCTTCTCAAACAATCCCTCCCTCTGTTAGAGCCAAAAGGAGCACATGCCAGGCAGCTGCAGCTGAAGAGCCCATGACCGATTAAAGGAAAATGTACAGCTGGAAACAGCTGCAGTCTCTGTGACTCCGTCCTGAGGGAAGCCAGAGACAGGCTGAGAAAAGGGGCTTGTTAGGACATGAGCAGTTCTAGGGTGTGCATATGTGACCTACAGCTGCAGAAGGTTCAACTTGATTTTACCTCTTCTGTCAACACAACTTTCCCCAACACAGTGTTGCCATACCTGCCAAGGTCACAGGCATGCAACTGCTGAAGAGGGCAGAAAAAAAAGGTAGTGGCCCAGGGGTGAGAATAGATAGAAATTATAAGAGTAACAGTGATGAAGATGAAACACATTACAGCACTCTTTGTTGTGAATAGTGCTGCAGTGAACATGGGTGTGCATAGATCTAGTCATGTCATGGCTCTTAGTTCTCTAGGATATATCCCAGGTGTGGGGTTGCTGGATCATGTGGTATTTCTATTTCCAGCTTTTTGAGGAAGCGCCATGTCATTTTCCATATTGGTTGTACCAGTTTATAGTCCCACCAGCAGCATATGAGAGTTCCAATCTCCCCACAACCTCACCAGCATTTCTTTTCTGTTTTTTGATTAGTGCCATCATTGCCAGTATGAGATGGTATCTCATTATCATTTTAATTTGCATAGCTCCAGTGACTAATGAACACAAGCATCCTATCATGTGTTTGTTAGCCACTTGGATGTCTTCTTTGTTGAAATATCTATTCATGTCTTTTGTCCATTTTTTAAATTAGATTGTCTTTTTGTTGTTGAGGTGTTGGAGTTTTCTATAAATTTTAGAGATTAGACCCTTGTCAGAAATGTCACTGCCAACAAATTTTTCTCAGCCTATGGCTTCTCTTTTTACTCTTCTGAAGAAGTCTTTTGATGAACATAAGTTTTTAATTTTTAGGAAGTCCTAGACATCTTCTGCTGTAGCTTATCTTCTGCTGTTTGTGCATTTTTAGATACCTTTGATAGTCTATTTATGATAATCTACTTATTTCTCTTTTTTGCCTTATTGCGGTAGCTAGGACTTTTAGTATGATATTGAATAAAAGTGGTGATAAAGGGCTTTCTTGTCTGGTTCTTTTTCTCGAGGGGAATGCTTTCAGTCTCTCTCTTTTGAGAATAATATTGGCTATTGGTTTGAGGGCAGTGAGTTTGGTTTGGTGTTTTTTATTGGTTTTGTGTATATGTCCTTAATTATATTGAGGAATTTCCCTTCTATTCCTATTTTGCTAGGGTTTTTTTTTTATTATTATTATTGTGATTTAGGTGAAAATTTACAGAGCAGATTCACTTTCCATACAGCAGTTCACATACACTTTGTCTCATGACATTGACCACAATTTACCACAATGCAACAG